AAATAAAATAAAATAAAATAAAATAAAATAAAATAAAATGAAATAAAAATTATAATATGATATAATATTATATAATATAGTAAAATAAAATAAAATAAAGGGAAATAAATAAAATAAAACAAAGTGAAATAAAATAAAATGGAGTAATTCAAAATAAAAGTTTTGATTAAATAAAATGAAAACTAAATAAAATTAGAAATAAAATGAAATGAGAAATAACGAAAAAGCAAAATAAAATAAAATGTAACTGAAACAAAACAATTAAATGCGTGGAAATAAATTGAATAAAAAAATAAAATAAACAACCAAAAATAATTAAATGAAATAGAATAAACCAAAATAAAATAAATGGAAAATAGAATTTTTGGAATTTTAAGAATATAATTACGCCATCTTCTCCCCTCGAAAGTCTGTTGTATCAGAGAACTCGTCGGCCAAATGAGGCTATACGAGACCATGCCTCGTGTAACGGGATAACGCTGTAGCATTATCTTAAAACTTTGCAAAATGGCAGCCATGTTTGCTATATAAGAGTACTATATATGTAGATATATTGATTAATGGATGCAGCTAATACTATTTTTTGTGGTTTTAATACTTAATATGTCTCTGATGATAAAAATAATTTTGAGTATTTGTTCTTAAAATTTTAACACAATTATGATACTCACAGCAAGATTTTAAATTTAATGTTTGATTGTTATTAAATAAATTAAGAAATTTTATCTCCTCCCCGTGAAGGAAGTATGAAATTTCGCTTTATTATTCTACATTGTACTGAATTTTTCTAAATAATTGTTTGAATACATATCCTTGAAACTTCAAAGACCTTTGAAAAAATTTCTGACGGACGTGAGGGAGAAAAACTAAAAACGCAGTTTTACTATATTTGGCTCTGATGTCGTGTGTATATTGATTTTTACATGTGTTTCAAAATTTTTTGATTTTTGTCGCACGGTGTTGTGTAGTTTCTTTAAAATATATTTTGCGAAGGAAAAAATAAAAATAAATGATATTACTTCCAATTTTAAAACACCTAGGAAACCACTGTACAAAAATTTTCAGATTTTTAACTTCAACGGTTGATTATTTATACTTAAGGCTTTTTTTTTTGTATAGATGACAATTGACTATCAATAAATAAATTATTNACTAGCCTTGATTTTGAAAGTTTTCAAGTTCAGACCACATACATATGTACATCAACCGTTAACTGTGCTTTGTTCACACTAAATATTTGCGACTTTTTTTTATCTATTAGTTCTGAGTGTACATATGTACATACCTAAATATGTATATATGTATACATCTAACTATGTATGCCAACATAAAATGGCTTAGACATTCTTTAACATTTTTGTTGCATTCTACATAAATAAATTCACTGGAAGTGGGTTTTCCACTCTACACTGTTGTGCATTTGTAATGTATAAAAACAAAAAACAAAAACAAAAAAAAACAACGATATATTCTTATCAGTTTTCCATGCAATTCAGGCAAAGGTCGAGTATACGCAACTACGCCCCATTGTGCCGCAATTAACCTAAATTCGCAGCAATGCAGCTCAGACAGCAACACTTTTTTTGTTGCAATATAAACAAGTTCTAACCGCCAAGCTCGTCATATTCGATATTCAGTCATAATTCGATCTCCACAAACATGGCTCGAATCAGTGGATTGCTACTTTTTTACGCTATGAGTCTTTTAATTGGAATTTGCCAGAGTCAAGCGTTTTACTCGAGAATCGTAAATGGCACACAGGCTAACGAAGGCGAATTTCCATTTGTGGTGAGTTCAATTAAAATACTTATTTAAGAGAGCGTTTCAAAGTTTTAGCCAAGCACACGTTGATTGCGATAAAAGAAAATCATTTGCATAATCGAATAAGCTCTTGGAACGCCAGCTACCTACCTACCTTCTTTAAGTTGATAACGCAAGTTCTTTTACTCGTTCGGCAAAGGTTTCCCTACGTCGCGCTTCCGATGGTCAACATAAGTGTGGTGCTTCGCTGCTAAATCGTGCATGGGCGCTTACGGCCGCACATTGTGTCGTGAAAATACAACCGGAACAGTTGAGTATTCAATATGGCAGCAATAAATTGGATGCGGCTAGCCCCAAAGTGTCGAATATCAGTAAAATAGTAGTGCATGATAATTATCAACCCGGAAATTTGAATTTGAATGACATTGCACTGCTGCGTCTGCAAACACCCATCAAATTTAGTTCAAAAGTGCGTGCAGTGCATTTGCCGGCAGCGCAACAGGATACAGCAGAGGCGTTGCCTGCCGTATTGCTCGGCTGGGGGCTGAATGCGGTGAGTGTCAAAAACATTTAAAAAAAATAGTTTTTAATAATTATTTCTGTCCTTCCACAGACTGGTGGCATCATACAAAAACAACTACAAAAGGTGCATTTACAAGTATTCAGCGATGAGGAGTGTAGCCAACGCCATGGCACTCAATTGCATGCGACCACAATTTGTGCCGGTGTGCCGGAGGGTGGCAAGGGTCAGTGTAGCGGTGATTCGGGTGGTCCTCTGCTGGTAGATGGCCAACAGGTGGGCATTGTTTCGTGGAGTCGCAAGCCATGCACTGTGGCGCCTTATCCGGGTGTCTTTACGGAAGTATCGGCTTATGTGGATTGGATGGGACAGATGATGAGCAATGATCGTGATGATGGCGATTGGAGTGAGAGTGAAGAGTCATGGGAAGAACTGACAACAGGGAATTTGATTATAGTGCGAAGCAAGAAGGGGGTTGGAAGTAAATTAATTAAGAGTTAAAGCGAGTAAAATATGTATAGCTCAGTTAAGTTAGCTCAAAAAAAGCGTTGTAAAAATACGGGTAAGCTTACAATAATTCGCATTTGGAAAAATAAAAAATTTAATCAACATAAACTGCATTTCTGCATTTTTAAGCAATTATTCGAAATTTTGCTATATCTCTAAAACTATTCTAATAATAATAATAATAATAATAGATTGGCGCTTACACATATGTTAGTGTTTGGCCAAGCTTCTCCTCCGATTTGTGGCGTGCGCCTTGATGTTGACACACAAAGCGGAGGGACCTACAGTTTTACGCCGACTCCGAACGGCGATTGTATTTTTATGAGAAGCTGTTTTTCATGGCAGAAATACACTCGGAGGTTTGCCATTGCCTGCCGAGGGACGACCGCTGTTAAGAAAAAACCTTTTTTTCTATATTTTTGCGATGTTGCTTTGACCAGGGTTTGAACCCAGGCATTGTGGAGTGGAAGCGCGCACTGCTTACCACTACACCACAGCGGCCGACTAAAACTATTCTAGTTTCTTATATTTTGAAGACATGTTCGCAATCTGCGGGAAATTATACATAAAAAAGTAAGTGTGCCTGGGCCACACTATCTATATCACTACCTCTACCCCTGTTCCTTCTAATTACATTTATGTATGTTATTCTGTTTTGCTTTATCTTCATTTTTATCCTCATACTCTTGTCAATATCAAAAACGATAGTAACATCCAACAAAATATCGATAACAAAACCAACAAAAATATCGATAACAAAATCGATGACAAATTCGATAGCAAAATCGATAAAAATATCGATAGCAAAATCGATAAAAATAAAGAAAACAAAATCGATAACAAAAATCGTTTAGAAAAGCGATAAAAATATCGATAAATAATCAATAACAAAATCGATACAAAATGGATAACAAAATCGATAACAAAATCGATAAAAATATCGATAACAACTTCGATAAAAATGTCGATAACAAAATCTGCAACAATATCGATAACAAAACCAATAACAATATCGATAAATAGTATCGATTACAAAATCCTTAAAAGCATCGATGACAAAATCGATAACAAAATCGATAAAAATTTCGATTATTATATCGATAGGTTCTGAAGATATCGGTAGCAAAATCGATAACAATATCGATAAAAATTTCGATAACAAAATCGATAACAAAAGCGATTTTTTCCTCTGCCTTTTCNAATAGTATCGATTACAAAATCCTTAAAAGCATCGATGACAAAATCGATAACAAAATCGATAAAAATTTCGATTATTATATCGATAGGTTCTGAAGATATCGGTAGCAAAATCGATAACAATATCGATAAAAATTTCGATAACAAAATCGATAACAAAAGCGATTTTTTCCTCTGCCTTTTCTTTATCTATGTACGTACTACCCTTTACTTTCATTCTTGTATTGGACTTTTTCTAAGTGTTATTCGTTAACCTTTTATTAGCAAATTTCTGTTAAATTCATACCATGTGCATACACTCAAGAAGCACTTGTTTCAGCCCCAACCATTTCCGTTGCATCATTTCCGTGTGCAATTTTACTATTAAATTGCAAAGTAAGAATTAACACCAGTGATGACAGTTAAGTCCCAGATGTGTTCTAACAGCAGAAAGTAGTTTTAGTGAAATTTGCAGACCCTCTGAATACATTATAAGGCCTCTTCTTTAATAGAGTTTAGTTAGGAGTTATCATAGCAAAGCTTAACTAATGTACAACATTTATCGGTGTAAACTACCTTACTTACAGGCAGTAATTCGACAACGTATGTACTCTTGTGGCCAGCTGATTAAGTTAAGTGAAATTTTGACCAGTTTTGGCTAATTTTCTTTCGTTTATTTTTATTTTTTTAATTTTTTTTAACAAAAATCTCGCACATTGTATCGAGCCCTAACCGCCAAATTAACGTAAGCGACATTTTTTTCGAAATTTTATTTTTGATGCAGATATGCATCTAGATGCTCTAGGAATATTTCTGCATCAAAAATAAAATTTTGAAAAAAATGTCGCTTACGTTATTTTGGCGGTTAGGGCTCGGTATAACCAGCTGCGCTATATAAATCCACATTTCAAATTTTGTACAAAATTATAAAAATTCAATAAACTTTACTTCCAAGAAATGGTAGAAACAGTAGGATGCTATCGATTCCACCATTTTTACTTTAACAAAGACCAAGTACTCAAATTCTAACTTTGGACTTTTCTTAAAAACATGTAGAAGTTAGTCAAAGAGGTACAGATCATATTTCTCTAATATTATCTTACACCTCTAACAGGTTTCGTTACGCCAACGCTCGAATTTGCAGCATTTTTGTGCAGGCACCATCATACATCACCAATGGATTCTCACCGCTGCGCATTGTTTTATGTACATCAAAGACCCCCGAGAATTGGTCGTACAATATGGCACAAATCAACTGAAATCGGGTAAAGCAAAATTTATGAACGTCAGCAAGATACAGAAGCATGAAGGATATAGCCACACTATAGCCATACACGACATAGCAATTTTGAAGTTGGAGAAAACACTTAAGCTCAAAAGCACAGATTTAGTGAAACTTGTTAAAGCAAAAGATTGTACAGAGTTCGCTCAAACTAAAGAGCCCACGCTCCTTATAGGCTGGGGTCTCAATGAGACAAATGGCGTATTGCAGCAACAACTGCAAAAGGTGTCACTTAACATACTCGCGCCAGCTCAGTGCCGCAAGCAAATACAATCACTGTTACATAGCACAAATCTATGTGCCGCCGCAGCCAATGGCACCACACAGGGACAATGCAGCGGTGATTCTGGTGGGCCACTACTGTTAGACAATAAACAAATCGGCATTGTTTCCTGGAGTCTAAAACCGTGTGGCGTCTACCCTGGAGTGTTCACCAATGTCGGTTGTTATGCAAAGTGGATAGGTGAGTGGATCGAGAAGTGAGTAAAGAGGAATTAAAGAAAAGTGTGTGTTTTTTTTTATAAACTAAACAATTATATTTATTAAGTCTTCGAAGAAAATAAATATTATTTACATATATGCACATACATGCTATATACAAACAGTTATTTAAAATCCCAGGATATATGTAGGTATGTATGTAGTAAGTAAGTAAGTAAGTAAGTAAGTAAGTACAACCATTATATATGTATATGTAATTAAGTAATAATTAAGCTAATAAGCGTATCACGTATTTTGTTTACAAACTAAAAAAAAATATGTGCAATTTGGTACTCTCTAGTTCAGTCATTACAGCGCCAAGGCATTTCGTACCTTTGGCACCAAACTCTCGTTCTTAGGTACAGGCAAATGATGCTGGAATTGTTTCAATTGTTGTTTCTGCATTGGTTGCTCCTGCGCTTGGTTATTACCATTCTTTTGCATATGCGCCAAGAAGGTAATCCAGAAGAGACTGCAGAAACTCACAAATAATATTCTATTTGGTTCAGGAATCAAGCCGAAGTTAATTGTCTGTAGGACTGGAATGATGAAAATGGCAATCTAAAATGTGGAAGTGGAAAAAATAGTTTTATTAATATTTGTCCTCTTTAAATATAAATAAAGTCAAGCGTATTTGATACATACTTTTACGGTTTTTGGAAATTTGTCTTTGACCTCTGCAACGGCAGCATCGAAACCTTTGCCCTCCAGCAGCGACATGCCGAAGTAGAAGCTGGTACTGGCGAATGGTGCGTAGGAAATTTGTTCGACAATGGCCTGCAATTTGAGATTGTTTGAGTATTAAATGAGGAGTTGATAAATGAATAATCCATAGTTTTTATTAAGAAACAAAAGCAAGCTTCCTATGCCTTGGTCAATTATTTATTTTGCGTGAAGAAAAAGTGGCTCAATGTTTCCAAACGAATAAAATTAAACTTTCACTAGATGGAAAGATAGATAAAATGAGGACTGCAACCTAAGGATAAAATGTGCTCTAAGCTTTTCAAAACACTTCTGCTAAACGGCCTGATAGTCTAATTAAAAATTGCCAGTTCATTTTCTTTAAAATATACTTTTTTAAATTTTAATTAGTGTTAAATCTGACATTTGCATCAGCTCATGAACCACCCCCATGTACAGATTTTCTATCAGAAATCTTTGCTAAACTCTTCAAAGAAAAAAAGGCGAAATAATTACTTGCTCTGAAGGCAATCGCGTGAGACTCAGAGTAATACATTTAATATTAAAGCAATTAAATTTAATATTGTCTGAAATTCGACGCCTCAATTATCAGATGGTAAATATGTACGCGATGTATGTATAAATCTGCGTTTTTTTGAGTTGACTAAGCATAATTTTATTTCGTGCATGGCGTGAGCATGGGAAACAATTTAATTTGATTGCAAAATTTTTATATTTTTTTTTTAACAAATTTATTAATCTAATCAGATGAAAATTTTATAGAAGATTTTATGTTTGAAAGGTGGCAAAGTTAAGATCGTAAAGAATGAAGTGAATTGCAAAAAAATGTTGTAAATTTATAGAAATAAATATCTGCTGTACAGAAAACGTTTTGCCCTAAAACAAATTTTATTTTAAGGCAAAAAAAATATTAATGACGATAAAATTTAAGTCCACCCACCTTGAGTGCTCCAACGCGTAAGTTGGTTTGTGGCCACATTGTTGAGGCCACACGCAACCATCCATATAAAGTGGGCGCCACATAAAGACCACCGAAAAGTCCGAAACGCAGAATGCGCATCCAATCGTAGTCCTCTGCGCGAAATAAAGCACAATTAATTAGTAACAATACAATTTTTTGTTAAATCTGTAAAAATTGTGAAAAATAGAAAATCAAAAAAAAAAAAAATTTACTTACTCAGCTGTCTGCCTTCAAGCGTTTGCTGCATGAAGCTACTCGTCGGCCAAACAATGGAATAAGCGATAACACCTTTGGCCAGAGGATGAGCAGAAATGAAGAGACGCCATTTTGATTTTAGAAAATTTACTGTTGCTGGTACGATCATTTTGTCTTGTATCAAAAATGCACTAAATATTTAAATAATAGATAATATTTACATATATATTAATGTGCAAACAATACATACAGTTTGAAGGCATTGTGCAGCCATGTTGACGTAAATGGAAACGGAAATGCGACATTTTAAAAATGCGGAAGTCCAAAAAAAAAATAGCAACACTTTTCACTACCCACGGGTACATATTTTTAACAATTCAAAGGTCGAGAAAAAGCTAAAAGAAACGCACGAATGGCGCTACCCTCGAAGTGTTCAAAAAATCTATTTACATAAATATGTATGTATGTATGTATGGTGTATGTTATACGCTCGCGAATGGATGATCACAAATGACGAACAGCTGTGCGGCTTGCAGACAAAACGGCGCCGCAGCTTTTCGATAGCAGCTCATTTATTTACATACAAACACATGTAAATATTTAAATATGTTTGAAGAGGTGCAGTTGCATATACTCGCTCATTATTGGCAATCGAAAGAATTGCGCACGCAGCGTGTGGGTATTTTGATATTTTCGTTTAAAAAATACCTAAAAGCATGGATGAGATATTTTTGTACTTACATAGAACAGTTGCAAAAATATAAAAATTAAAAGCCCATATTTTTTTAGCCCCAGCATTTGTAGGTCCTTGAACGCCTCTTTGGTTTACAAGTATAAATTTGCATATGCGGAAACATTTTTTTTTTCTATAAATTTATTTTTGTATATTTTCGCTCAAATTCGCTGTTTTCGTGCACTCACTATTCTAAAATTTATGTGGAAAATTTTGCGTGCTTTTTTTCACTTTCAAAATCAAGGCATAGCATATATTTGAAACACTTATTTTTAGCGCTTGCATTTGCCCATGACTAAATGCCAAAGTTTGATTGTCTAGTTTTAGTTTTGAGGCATTCAAAAATTTGCTAATATTTTTACTTTACTTTGTTGAATTTTTATCTAAACACTTATTAATTTATTGAATAGATACACTTATGACATAAATGCTACTATTTTACGAAATTGCATTATTTTTCACTTATTTATTCACTGCAGCTCCTCACTCAAACGTTACTCGAAAACTAGTGGCGAGGAAAATTGAAAAATTCTACTTTGACAATGAAATTTAGCTTCTTTTTCTGTCTGTGATGTAAACTAGAGAAATTACAGCTTTTAGTGTGAACATATACATACATACATATGCACATGCCGTACAAGTTTGGTTGCATTATTTAGTGATCTTTATTAGCTAAGTGGTCAAGCCTTTGCTCTTTAATTCTCGTCAAAGGGGTGAGTAATAAAACGAACTACATAGTCATATTTACCTACATATGTATGTATGCCCATACTTCTCAGGGCAAATTAATGCTATTTGCCTTTGCATGTAATTTTTTTTATTATTTTAAAATGCATTTGCTTTCTATAGAAATAATTTAATAACAACAAATTAGCAAGACGGACTTGATTTTCTTTCAATTATTTGGCGTAACTCATTCTCTTTCATCAAATGTAAACAAAAATTTTGGCGGAAATATATTCTTCCACCGAAAAGCTTTGCCGAGGAACTGCATTTTTTCGATACATACAAATACAATGAAGCTATGAATGTGGGGTAGAAAATAGTGTGCTTTGACATTGAATTGGAGCGAAGCATTGAACTTGACCGCAAGCTTTCATATTTTGATCGTTTTGCTTAATGTAGAAAAATGTGTGTTTCTAATGAAATTTCCGAGTGATGAAAGCTTAAAAGTTTTAATGAAATGAAAAGATGTTTTTTTCTTAAATTCCAAATCATGGGTGTTTTGTGCCCAATATATATTTATACCTGACGTCAATTTAATAGCCAAAATAGTTATATCTATTCGTTATTATTATCTAATCAAATCTGTCAGGCGAACATAATCTACCATCTATGTATGTATCTCGCCGAAGCGTGCTTAGTTAGAATTTGGAAAGTTTCCGAAAATCGAATTGTAATAGTGAAAATATGATGTATCATGAAGTCACAACAACAAGCCCGCAAAATATTAGTATTTTATTTTAGTTGTAAGACGCATCGCGCATCGACCGCAAAGTCACCCACAGCACACTAGTCGAATAAGACTAGTTCTTGTTAAAAATTTTGGGTTCGGCAAAAAGGTTTGGTGCATATTATTAGATAATGAATCCGTTTACGCAAAAGATAAAGTTATCGTTAATCTCAAGGTTATCTGTTTTCAATAAAATTTGAATTGTTCTCTTGATAATTGCAGTGGCCTATAGTCAAAAGATAAAAAGATCAGCTTTAATATTGCTGGCGTGCATTTAGGTCGCTGGTTCCAAATGTTCGAATCTTTTTTTAATATTAGCTATAGTTTGCGAATTTTTGCAAATTTAGGAACAATTTCGGTAACTCTAATAGAAAAGCCATTATTTTCCATAATCGTGGAAAAATTTTGTTTATGCAAATGAGTATGGAAACACTGAACAGGCACAACTTCTAGAAACACTAATTGGTTTACTTATGTTTATGCATACAATATAAAAATTGCAGATATAAAAGAATGACAAAAAATTTTCAATTTTTTTTTTAAATAATTTGTTTATAATCTGAACGATTTTCATCATATTATTATCATAAATCAGTAACGGTAAGTCTCGCCTTCAATTTGGTAATTACTACGTACCGATCGAGTAACATTTACCAAAGTTATATCTAAAAACTTAAGTGGATCTCTAGTGTTTTTTTTTGTTTTTTTTTTTCAAATGCCTTTTATTTTCTCCCATACAAAATCGACCCAGCCTAATATATATACACATGCGCAATAGCGCGTGCCTAATGATATTTTAATTCCTTAAGCACTTAAAACAAATATTATGTACTTGAAGTCAATTTTATATCCACCTAAAGATTACATAACCTTCGCTCTGCAAAAAAAAAAACTACTGAGCATTCATGGCTTGGATTTTTTTAGTTCTTTCTGTTTATCGATATAATTAGATTAAAAACTTTTGTGATCATATTTAAAAATTTT